AATGGCTGAAATAGCAGAAAAAGAATTATGAAAAATTTCCATTGCAGTCTTCAGAATCTATGAAGTTGGTAAAAATTTTACAGAAAACATTTTCATACCTAACCGATCAGTACGATCTCCATAACCATGGACTCGGATAACTTCTTCAAATTTTGATGCATAGTCACCCGGCACTGCATACCAAGTTTTAGGGGATCCCATGTGAAGGAAATTCATGCTATGGAGCTCATGGTCTTCAACATGCCACGCAAACCAGCTGAACAACATACCAATATATACCATAGGAGATGTAACACCAGGAATATCATCTGCCATGTATCGAGTTAGTGATCCAGGTGACCTTGCTATCACTTGTAAATTCCAGGGGCTGTTTGATAGCTTCCAGCCAGCACTGCCTTCCACATTGTTGCTGTCATGTAAACCGTTTGTCCGTGAGACTGGTGTGTTCTGTCTTGGTTGGAAGGATGTTGAACAATCAGACGGCATGACTTTACATAAATTAGGACTGGCATGATATGACTCTTTATCAACACTTGCACTATCAAGAAGACCTACTTCATTCGTGCTCTCACAACTTCTTTTGTCGTTTCGATCAAACACTGCCCTCTTTCTCCTCCTCCTCGTTGTTCTATACATGTTACATATTCCCTCAGGTTCTCCAAAAGCCGAACCAGGCACATCATTAGCATACTCCACATAAAAAGGTTCCTGATGAACTGCTTTCCAAAACATATCCTCAACAGCTAATGGCGAAACATCCTTAACCGGGCCTAATTGACTCCTAGCAAAAGTCTTAGATTTTGCTTCAAATTGTTCCAGTGTATAAACTTCTCCACTTTGCCACACCTGTTTCCGAGCTCCAAATGGCTGGCTCCCTGCCACCCCCTTCTTCTTCTGTTTCTTCTCACTCTGGCCCAATTCCTGACGTCTGGTAGTAAACACAGCCCTAGACTCCCCACATTCACCATTCCCCTTATCAGAACCAACCTTTACATCTGAACCCAGCTCTGGACACTTCGTGAGTGACTTATTCAGGTTATGGAGCACATATTTCTTAGAAGGCTTAGGAAACGGAGGAATCACTTTACATATACCAAAAGAGCTAGCTTCTCTCTCAATTTTAGAAATGTAAGCAATCGGATCAGAAAATTCAGTCTCTGTGGGGCGAAATTCAGGCGCCACAGGCAGCTCCTTGAGCCATTGGGCTATATCCACATTCTTCATCACCAACCAGGACCGTAACCAATGATCTCGATACAGTCAAGGAATCACTTTCATTCAAAAACGCATAATTGAATCAACACGTAGTTTCAATAAGCTTAAACCCTAGATTCAGAAACAAACCGTATTGAGGCCCTTCTTCCAGTAAACGCAAAACGATAAAAATGGAATTAAAAAACAGTTAATCAGTAGAACCTTTTGGTAGCTTCAAAGGAGAATTCAAACCGAAATGCAGAAATTCGAGAATCGCGCAAATTAACGTACTGGAAACTTATCCTGTGCCGGAGAGGATATCGCTACCTGGAGCGGGCGCGCCTCTACGGTTGACTTCGTTGATCGGTGCGTCGGTTGTACGGTCCGCGCCGGCACTGCGTCCAGTTGGACTGTGTATGGTTAAAGTTACTCCTGGGTACATGATATGGAGGATTCTTTTTTTTTTTTATTTGGAAAAACTTCAAATAAATACTTCTATATATCATTTGACTCCAAAGTCAAAATCAACTTGTCAGATGCAATTGAAAGGGGTGGGGGGTGCGTTCGAGTCGGGGCGGGGTGGGGGGTTTATCGGGGGGGTTAGGGGGGTAGAAACCGTCAATTTTACGAACGGAGCACCGGAGCGCCCCCGGGTCATCCCATGACATTGGTTCCCAATGTCATGGGAACCTTGCCCATACAATAAATGAATTTGTTCCCTCCACAATAGTGCTGTTAAACGCTGTCATTAGATGGATTTTTCAAAATGTTAACCCTAATGCTAGGCAATTGATATCTACACTCCACATTTTACTAGTTGCACTCCACTTTTTTTATTTTTTAAAAGATTGACAATTTTGCCCTTTCAATTACAAATACCTCATTTTCATCATCCCTTTACATCATTAATATTTATATTAACTATTTAACAAGATTTATAATATTGAGGATTAAATTATATTATACTACCTCCGTCCCAATTTATAGTGCCTGTTTCGGTTTACGATGCTTGACTGAAATTATTTTCAAATCATTTTATATGACAAACGGTATAAAGTTAAAATATAAAAATTTTATTTTAAAATACTACATCAAAAGTTGAGCACCTTTAAGCTTAACGGAGTTAAAGTAACTCGAGAGATTCTCTCGGGAGGCTGGATTAGCCACACGTTGTGGTGAACCAGGATAAAATTCTGTGTGCTCCTTCCTTACGCTCTTTACTTTATCGCTCTCGTTTTTAATTTCCTGCAATTTTGTTTTAAACGCTATTCACCCCACCTCTAGCGTTGGGCCTATATTCTAACAATTGATAGAATTACATATTTTTCTTTTGAAAATTTTCAATTAATTATAGTATATTTTATTTTAAGACTTTATGATATGGTGCACTAATTAAAATAACTATTTGGTGTGTTTCTGAATACACAAACAAAAATTATAACAATATTATAAAATTTGTTAAATAAGTATTTCCCTAAAAAATAAGTATTAATGAGTATAATTTAATCCTCAAAATTATAAATATTTTTAAATATTTAATATAAATATTAATGATGTAAAGGGATGATGAAAATGAGGTATTTGTAATTGAAAGGGCAAAATTGTCAATCTTTTAAAAAATTAAAAAAATGGAGTGCAACTAGTAAAATTTGGAGTGTAGATATCAATTGCCCTAATGCTAATATTATTTCTCAACACACGCTTGGTGTAAAAAATACTCCCTCCGTCCTATAATGATCTTCCCAGTTCGCAAAACGAAGAAAAATCCCAAGTTTTTTCAATCTATTTTATTTAAATATTGGTATAGAAATAAAAAATAAAACATACATACTTAAAAACTACACCAAAAGTTCAACAAAACAAGTGGTGACAAGAATATTTTATTTTATCATATAGGCCATGAAAAAACACAAATAAATATAAATTTCCGTGAAGTTGGAATAGTGCCCTGGGAAGATCATTATAGGACGGAGGGAGTATTGCAAAGTTTACTACTTGTTAAAATGTTACCCTTTTTTCTGTCTTTTGAATAACATGTAACATGTTATCTTCTTTAAATTGATTTTATTAAAAATTAGTAAGAGAATAAAAAGAACAAGTTGCATGTTTAAAAACTATATGAACAATACTATAAGATAAGTAATGATAATAATATTTTATTTTATTAAATTGGCCATTAAAAAGCATAATAATCAAGGTTTGAAACCCAACGAAGGCAGAAGAATTGACTTTTTGTGTGTCATTAGATTGAGAAAAGTGTGAATAAATACTATATTGTAATTGAGTCAATAGCTCTAAAAAAAGTTTGAAATAGCAACTAGGCCACTTTTTAAGGAAAAAGTGTGTTATTTTTCATTTATCATTTATAAAAATATTATCTCTCTAAAAAACAAAACCACTTTTCTTGTCTATGTCTAAAAATTGCAACTTTATTTTCATTTCAAAAGAAACTTAACGTGTGACTTATCAACAAATTTCAATGTACTTTTCATTTTTTTAGATTTTAAAATTCCGTTAAAGTCTCATTAGAAAGTGTAAAATATGAAAAGTGATCGAGTTATAATTTATTTAGATAAGAGAAAAGTGAGTAAGAATTTTTTAGCAACATTGAAAATTAAGATTTTTGTTAAAAGGACTAAAAGCAAAAGTCTCTCATTTTGTAAAGACCAAAAGTATAACTAATCCTAAAAGAAATGTCTCTAGATATAAATAGAATGCCAAAATAGAAATATCATTGTTTTTATCCAATAAGTAGGAGTTCGACAATGTGGTTGGTGACAGTGTGATGACAATATAATAATGCGATGGTTACGTAATGAGGGAGTGTGGTGGTTGACTATGGTCAACAGGGGCGATCACCGACAGAGATATGGTGGTAGTGGGGCTTGGTAGTTTACAATGTAACAATAGATGTACGAACTCTTATTTAAGTCACAAAATATGATACTTCAATTTTGATATTTTAATTTAGTCTTGTGAGTGAAAAGAATTACCAATAAACAAATTTCTTAAAAGAAGATGAAAAGAGAAAGAATTATTCAGAATCATTTCAAATTTATCTGCTCTTTCAAAAGTAATCTCAGTATTAATTGTGACGCATATAATCCCACCAATAAAATGTGCGTGTTTTGGATCTTCGTTAAGCTGCAAACGAATAATTAATAGAAATGACTTGTTTTGCGGAATAGAAAAAAGGTGACTATTTTTTTTATAATTTTTTGTTTTTAATTTTTTTTTAAATTTTTTATTAAACTTTTAAAATGGCATCCTGCTTCCTTCATTCCTCTTTCTTTTTTTAAAGATTAGCCTTATTAACAAAAAAAAGATATAAAAAATGATGAAAATGTAATTATAAGAAAATAAGAAATGAATTCCGAGCTTCGAAGTAATTTCCTTTTAGCCATTTCTTAACAACAAAAACTAGTTGTTTTATTCCTTTAGGGATTTAACAATTAAATTTTTTATTTCTTATTTTTTATTTTTATTTTTATTTTTTGGATACTAGATTAGGAAATACTACAATAAGACTCAGTATAGTGCCTAAAATATTAGAACTCATCACTCCTTATATTTTTATTTTCATTTCTTACGAGTTTGAGGTTTTTTTATTGATTACCTTTTTAATGCATTATTTTTTTTGTTTTAGTTGTGTTTCTCATTTTTCGTTATTTTTTGGTCTTTTTACTTCTTCTTGAAATAATACTAATCCTTAAAAAAGTAAAAAAATTATGGAGATATGTTGGGGGAAGCACAGACGAAACACAACGGAAACGAATAAAATCTTTTCCCCAAATAAATGAGATAAACAACAAAGCACAATATACTCCAAAAATCAGCAGCACCACCAGATATAAATAGCAACAGAAATAAAATAAAGAACACACGATTTACGTGGAAACCCCATATCGGGGAGAAAACCACAGCCGCTCAACAACGGCACCCAAACTTCCACTAATCACCAAGAACCAAGTGGATACAACAAGTTCTCCTCTCTAGTCAACACTAGAGGCATACACAATCATCAAGGAACAACCCTTGAACAACAACAACCAACAATTCACCAAAACGGAGTAAAAAACACTAAAAAAACGCAGGTATGAAAAAGCAGCAAGAAAACCACCTTTCGGGCATCAAAATGATAAACTGACCGTTGGATTTGAAGAGGAGTATGTAAGAAACAACATACTAAAATTTGAGCACGATCCGACTTCATTTGGACTTCGATCCGGAGGTAAAAAGTTGCTGCTGCACAGAGACGAAAATTCTGTTTTTCTTCTTTTTTTTTCTGTGTATAGCTACTGCCACTACATTCTACTCCTCTTCTTTTGCTCCCTTATCTTTTTCTCTCTTTTTTATTATTATTTAGTATATGGGCCACCATAAAGAAAACAATTGGGCTAAAACTTTACACACAAAAAATAAGCCCAAATATAAAAGAGAGATTTAAAGTGTTGTCCAATTAAAATTGGACACTTCCTCCATGTAGGAGGGATATTTCCCAACAAATCTCCCCCACACTCCTACATGGAGTGAGCAAACAAATCGGCCTTCTCACGAAAAACATGAGTTTCTCTTTTGGCAAAATCTTGGTCAACATATCGGTGCAGTTTTAGCTTGTATGAATCTTCACAAGCTCAAAAGACTTGTCCTCCATGGCTTCTCGAATCCAATAATATCTTCTCTTAATGTGTTTGGTTCAAGAATGAAAGGCGGCATTCTTTGCAAGGTGAATGGCACTCTATGAATCACAATGAAGAAGATAATTTTCTTGTTCCAAACCAAGCTCCTCAAGAAAATTCCTCAACCATAACAATTCCTTGCCTGTCTCAACAGCTGCTATATATTCTACCTCAGTAGTGGACAAAGCAACACACTTCTGCAATCTTGATTGCCATGAAACTGCAGCTCCAGCAAATGTCATCAAGTATCCCGAGGTAGACTTTGCAGTATCAACATCTCCAGACATATCTGCATCTGTGTACCCATCTAATACAGGCTGTCCAATACCAAAACATAAACAAAATCTGGAGGTATCTCTAAGATATCCGAGATTCCATTTCACGGCTGCCTAGTGCTCTTTACCTGGATTCGACATGTAACGGCTAACAACCCCAACTGAATGAGCAATATCTGGCCTCGTACATACCATGGCATACATCAAACTACCCCACAGCTGAAGCATAAGGCACCTTGTCCATCTCTTTCTTTTCTTTCTCACTTGTAGGGCAATGGTCCATACTCAACTTCATGTGGCCTGCAAGTGGAAAGCTCACGGGTTTAGCCAAAGTTTCTTGTTCTTTCTATCCCGCACGATCCTCAAGGCTAAAATCTCTTTAGGAGGGCCTAAGTCCTTCATTGCAAAGGACTTACTCAATGACTTCTTCAAGCAAGCAATATTCTTGGTGTTCTGGCCAACAATCAACATATCATATACATATAAAAGGAGAATAAGAAAGTCACCTTCAGGGTAATTCTTCACAAACACACAATGATTAGCATGTGTTTTGTGGAAGCCATGATCAATCATAAAGGACTCAAACTTCTTATACCATTACCGAGGTGCTTGCTTCAAACCATACAAGCTTTTCTTCAAACGGCAAACTAAGTTCTCCTTTCCCTTAACCTGAAAGCCCTCAGGTTGTTCCATGTAGATTTCCTTATAAAGGTCACCATAAAGAAATGATGTCTTCACATCAAGTTGCCTAATCTCCAAATCCATGCTAGCAGCTAAGCCAAGTTTAACTCGAATAGAGGTCATCTTCACAACGGGAGAAAATATCTCATCAAAATCTATGCCCTTCTTCTGACTGAAACCCTTCACAACCAATCTTGCCTTGTACCTTGGTTGTGAGCTACTCTCATCACACTTCAATCTGTATACCCACTTGTTCTTGAGTGCTCTTTGGCCTTTAGGCAACTCTACAAGCTCATATGTGTGGTTCTCATACAAGGACGTCATCTCATCTTGCATGGCATCGTACCACTTCTCGCGGTGCACATGTGACATAGCCTCATCATATGTCTCTAGCTCTCCTCCATCAGTGACTAACACAAAATCATCCTCTCAAAGTCTCGTGGAAGGTTTTCTGACTCTAGTGGATCTTTTCAACTGAGGTGGTGGTGACTCTGAATGTGGTTGTGACTCTGGAATATCATCCCCACCATCATCATGATTATCATCATCATGATGGTCATCTGCAGAAGACTCAAGTGTATGATCATGCATATATCCCCCATGATTTTGAGGGACTACAACAAGAGGAAGAGATGGAACTGGATCAACTGTGATGCATGAAGAAGGATTTCCCTGCTTCTTCTCACAATCTTTAATAGTCTGATCTTCAAAGAAAACCATATCTATGCTTCTAATCACTTTCCTATCACGTGGATCCCATAGTCTGTACCCAAACTCATCCTTTGAATACCCCAAAAATATGCACTCTTTGGTCTTCTTATCAAGCTTGGATCTCTCATCTCTGGGAATATGAACAAATGCTCTGCAACCAAAGACTCTCAAATGCTTATAGGAGACCTCTTTTCCTGACCAAACTCTCTGAGGAACATCACCTTCAAGAGGAACTGAAGGGGAAATGTTAATCAGGTACACGACAGTGAACATTGCCTCCGCCCAAAAGGACTTTGGCAGCTTAGAATGAGATAGCATACACCTGATTCTCTCTTCAATTGTTCTATTCATTCTCTCTACAACTCCATTAAGCTGAGGTGTCTTTGGAACGGTCTTCACAAGCTTGATGCCCTGACTTTTGCAATAGTTCTCAAATGGACCCCTGTACTCACCACCATTGTCTGATCTGAAACACTTGAGCTTTCTACCACTTTCTCTTTCAACTCTGGCATGAAACTCCTTAAAAGCTTCAAGTACTTGGTCTTTATTTTTCAAAACAAAAGCCCATACTTTTCTAGAAAAATCATCAATAAAAGTCACAAAATATTGTGCACCACGATGTGATTTAGCATCTATATAGCAAACATCAGTATGAACAAGATCTAAAGCATGCTTTCTTCTATGTGGGGGACGAGTATGAAATGCAACTCTGTGTTGTTTTGTAGATAAACAATCAACACAAGAGTTTAAATGCATACCTGAAATGTCGGGGAGATAATCTTTCTTGGAAAGGATGTGCATGCTCTTTTGACTCATGTGGCCAAGCCTCTTATGCCACAAATCACCGGAGGCATCATCTGCTACATTGGCATCTCCGCTACATACTCTAGCCTGCATAACATAAAGTAAATTCTGCTTCTTACCTCGAGCTACAATCAAACGGCCCTTGGAGAGTTTCCATCTTGCATCCCAAAATTTGTTTACATAACTTTCATCATCAAGCAAACCAGCTGAAATCAAACTCAATCTGATATCTGGGACGTGCCTCACATCCCTGAGCACCAACCTGCAACCAGTGGAAGTCTCTAAACAAACATCACACATACTGATGATCTTAGACAAACCATCATTTTCCATCCTCACATGGCCAAAGTCACCACTAGTATAGGATGAGAAGTACTCCCTGTGTGAAGTAATATGATAAGATGCACCAGAATCAATCACCCAGGTGTAGTCATCACATGCTACATTTAATAGTCCATGATCACCGATAACAAACAAATCGTTATCACTAGATGCCAAGGCTCTAGTGTTCTTCTCTTCTGGCTTCTGCTCAGAATTCTCATTTTTATCTTTTCTCTCCCTGGACATATCCCTGTTTTTCTTTCTGCAGAATCTCTCAATGTGATCTGGCTTCTGACAATAATGGCAAATGAAATCTCTCTTTCTAGATTTGGATCCCCCCCTGGAGTTGTCTCTGTAATGAGGATTTCTGCTCTTGCTTCTCCCCCTGCTAGATTCTGGAATCACATTTTCTTCGGCTTGGCTAGGGTAACCTGATTCTTTCCTCCTAGCCTCTTCATTCAACTAGCCTTGACCATCTCCATAGTCATATTGCCATCCGGAGCAGAGTTGCTAAGTGAAACCACCAATGTATCCCAACTGTCGGGCACTGAGGAAAGCAACAACAAAGCTTGAAGTTCATCCTCATTCGTGTGAACCACAATGCTATCACCATCTTTGTATTGCAATTTAACAAGCTTCCTAATCAAAGAAGCTTTTCCCATAGCATTGTTCCTCTCGTACATGGATTCAAGTTTCTTCCACATCTCAAAAGCATTAGTTTCATTAGCAACATGTTGCAACACACTTAAAGAAACATATTGTCTGATTGATGCAATAGCTTTCCGGTTCAAGGTAGTCCAAGCTTTCTCATCAACACCTATTGGACGTTCTTTATACAAAATTGGGTCAAGCAAATCTTTAGAGCATAAATAATCCTCAATACGAATTTTCCAAATTGAATAATTCGTAGAGTCCAAACTAACCATTCCTTGAACAATTACTTTGTCATCCATCATAAACAACACAAGAAGCCAACCAAAAAAGAATCAAGCTCTGAGACCACTTTGTTGGGGAAGCACAGACAAAACACAACGGAAGCGAATAAAATCTTTTCCCCAAATAAATGAGATGAACAACAAAGCACAATATACTCCAAAAATCAGCAACACCACCACATATAAATAGCAATGGATATAAAATAAAGAACACACGATTTACGTGGAAACCCCACATCAGGGAAAACCACGGCCGCTCAACAACGACACCCAAACTTCCACTAATGACCAAGAACCAAGTGGATACAACAAGTTCTCCTCTCTAGTAAACACTAGAGGCATACACAATCATCAAGGAACAACCCTTGAATAACAACAATCAACAATTCACCAAAACGGAGTAAAAAACTCTAAAAAAAAATGCAGGTATGAAAACGCAGCAAGAAAACCACCTTTCGGGCATCAAAACGAGAAACTGACTGTTGGATTTGAATAGGAGTATGTGAGGAACAACATACTAAAATTTGAGCACGATCCAACTTCGTTTGGCCTTCGATTCGGAGGTAAAAAGTTGCTGCTGCACAGAGTGACGAAAATTTTGTTTTTTTTTTTTTTTCTGCGTATAGCTATTGCCACTACATTCTACTCCTTTTCTTTTTGCTCCCTTATCTTTTTCTCTCTCTTTTTTTATTACTATCTCCATCCCAGAGTATTTGTCCAGTTTGACTTTTTCGAGTCAAACTGGACAAACTTTGAACTCCAATTACTCTCAATTTATATTACATATTAACATAATGAAATACAATTTTGAAAGTTCTCAATATGATAAATCCAATAAAATCATTTTTATATTCAAATACTTTACGGTTTTATTTTATTGAAGCTCAAAGTTTGTCCAGTTTGACTCGAAAAAGTCAAACTAGACAAATACTCTGGGACCGAGGGAGTATTATTTAGTATATGGGCCACCATAAAAAACAATAGGGCTAAAACTCTACACACAAAAAATAAGCCCAAATATAAAAGAGAGATTTAAAGTGTTGTCCAATTAAAATTGGACACTTCCTCCATGTAGGAGAGATATTTCCCAACAAGATAAAAGGCTATCTTAAAACTCTAAGGAAAAATTTAAGAAAATAACAAAATAAAAACGAAAATTTATCAAAAAGAATTTACCTCTCATTTTGTTACGCAAAGAAATACCTGTTTCTATTAACCATGCGTTGGCAACGTAATTGTTACTCAAAACATGCACATCTCGATAAAGGTGAGTTTATTATGTAATACGGTGAAAAATAAGATTATTTTTGAAAGATCTGGTAAAGTGAGATTATTTTGAAAAACTTTTTCAAGAGAAAATGATGCATCAAAGGAGTTCATTGCTGAATCAAAATTATTGTTATTCTATAATATTTTTGGGGAAAATGCTAAACAAAGAGTAAGATATGTAGAAAGTACAAAAATATAAGTTCTTTGTTATTATCTTCAAAAAAAATCTTACAATGTCAATTATATCAACATATTATTTTAAAAAAACAATGTGAAATACTAGTATATAGTGTGAAAATTGTAATTCTATAATTCTAGATTTATAAGATTTACTTAATTTTTAAGAAAAATTATTGAGAATAATCTCAATTTTACTCAGTCTTTTAAAAATAATCTTATCTTCTACTGTGATGCATAATAATTTCAACTTTACTGAAATTTGCAAATTTTGGGTCGCAGTTAAGTTACTAACACTGAGTTAACAGAAAAAGTATGTTTTGCGCAACAAAATAAAAGTTGGGATTATTTTTGATGAATTTTCATTTTTTTTATTTTGTTAAAATTTTAATTTTTAAAATTACTTTCTACCTCCATCATTTCTATTTTTTAAAAATTAGTTTACCTTTGGATAAAAATAAAAAAATAGATATAAAAATAATGAAAATGAGAAACATAACTAAAATCATACAAAATTAGTAAAATAAAGCAATCAATATAAATTAACTTGAAACTGGTAAGAAATAAAATAAAAATATATGAAGTGATGAGTTTTAATATTTTACATACTATACAGAACATTAATGTACTAATTCTTCTTATTTTTTAGAAAATATTATCTAGAATTTTTCTAACTTTACCCGTTCTTTCAAAAAATAAGTATTACATTAATACTCGATATAGTGCGTAAAATGTTAGAGCACTCCACTTGTTATATTTTGTTTTCATATTCAGTTTAATTTTTATTGATTACCTTATTTATTTCATTAATTTTGTATGGTTTTAGTTATTTTTCTCATTTTTGATATTTTTATTTTTTATTTTTTACTCCCTCCGTCCTTCAAAAAAGTTCTCATTTTGATGTGTTTTTGGTCAAACAATTACACGCTTTACACCATAAGTTAAATATAATCGAAATAAAGAAATGCTAAAAAATTTGAGATATTAAAACTAGATCATAAGATGAATCCAATTATATTAAATTTATTTTATAATTTAATATACCTTTCTCACAATTTATAGTCAAAGCGTGTAAATACTTGACTAAATACTATTCAAAATGGGAACTTTTTTGTGGGACGGAGGGAGTCTAAGATAAGACTAATCTTTAAAAAAAGGAAAAACTAATTGAAGTAGAAAGTCATCTTAGATATTTTAAAAAAAATTTAAATAAATAAAAATGAAAATTAATAAAAAAAATAGTTCCAACTTTCATTTTGTTGCGTAAAATAGGTTGTTCCGTTAACAACTTAACGAGAGTCCAATACGTGCAAATTTCAGTAAAACTGGAATTATTATACTCCCTTCGTCCTAAAACTTTCTTCCCACTTCCCATTTTTCTCCGTCCTAAAACTACCTTCCCATTAGAAAAAAAGATGACAAATGACATTAATACCTTCATGTATTTACATCAATTATCTTCTAACTCTATATTTTGAATGATTGCGAAAAAAATTCAAAAAATCTTTTTTAAGGAGGGTAAAATTTAAAGTCAAAGCAAAAAATTAAAAATGGAGAAAAGTCAAACTGAGAAGAAAGTTTTAGGATGGAGGGAGTACATTAAAATGAAAAATGATACTCCCTCCGTTTGCAAAAAGACTTCCCATTTTGATTTGGGACAAAAATAAGGAAGTGTTAAATTATAGTTGATTTCCAATTTTGCCCGTGATGTGATGAGTAAAAGTAAGATGTGATGGATAGATTACTAGAGAAAAAATATAATGTGATAGGTAGGGTATGAAAAAGTAAAGGTAAAAGTGGTTTTTTAATAGAAAAGGGAAGTGTTTTGTTGGAAGTGGAAAAAATGAAAGAGGAAGTGTTTTTGAGAACGGAGGGAGTATTATTTTTGAAAGACATGGTAATTTAATACTTACTTGTTTTTACACAAAATCAAAAGAGGAACACTTTTCCATACGGAAGGAGTAATATTTTTTTCTAATTTTTATTTGGCTTGACTACTAGTATAGAAAATCCAATCCTCTAGATTAATGAGGAAGTGGCTGAGTGTGTATTGAACAGTTGAAGCTCTCTCAACCGCTCTCCCGAAAAATAACAGTTTCCATATTGCAAACGGGAGGAGGGGAGAAGAGAGTGGAGAAGACAAACAACCAATCAATCAATCCTCCCCATAATCTTCATCTTCTGCATTAAAAGCCCAAAATCCGAAACCTGGAGGAATTGGAATGCACATGTTTTCAGAAACCTAAGAAATCCCCCTGCCACTCTGCAGCGCTCTGATTCTCTGATTCCCTCTTTTGGGATCAGAGAATCGTCGCCCCTTCTCGTCTTCCTTTGTTTTTTAATGATGAGCTTATAGAGGAGGAGGAGGAAGAAGAGGAGGAGGGTCTTTTTTGTTTTCTTTTGTTTTAAAAAAGAGACTTTTTTTTTAATAAAGAAAAACAATTCAAGATTTTTCTTTTTCTTGATTTGGATTGGGAAGAAATGGTTGTGCCTCATGATGATGGAAACATGGAGGGTTGGCTTTACCTCATCCGATTGAACAGGCTTGGCCTCCAGTATTGTCGAAAACGGTACTTTGTTCTTGAAGATAACTGCCTCAAGAGCTTCAAATCAATCCCCATTACGGGAAGAGAGGTTATGTGTTCATTTAATCTCTACATTTACAATTCCAAACCCACCCATATGATTTATCTTGCCTTTTTAAGTCATATATGGTTAGAGTATAAAAAAACATTTCTTTCATTTGCTTTTGGCCGAATTGGTTCATTGGTATTGTATCAATTAAAGCTCAAATCAATCGTTTGATCATGGTTGTGGGGTCATGTTCAGCCCTTTCCACCCCGGCGAAAAATGTTAAGTTTCGGGCCATTCATCCCATAAAGTGTGTTTTTGGATAGAATTCCAAGTCTTAATATTAGTTCAATGCTTAGCAGGCTCATGTTGTTTTAAATGCAAAATATGAAACTTTAAGGCCATATGGGCCTCCACCTTAAAGAGCGTGTTAGAGTATAAACCTATCTTGGGATTCTCGCCATCGAAATCACCTTTTGGTTGAATTATTTCTTTGACACCTATATTTGTGGGGCAAAAACATAGGGATGGAGTTTTGTTGCTCTTCTCTCTCTCTCTTTATAGCAATTGTTTAAAACTGTATGAATGCTATACTTTGAAGTCTAGCTAGTTTCCCTTGTGGATGCAAAATGAGTAATTCCATTTCCTATCTTATGCCTTTAAAATGATAGTGGTCATATTTTGCATTTCCTTGATGCATAAAATTTTCAGGATGGGAAGATGGGATTTTTTTATCATTCCAACTTAAAACTAGAATGTTAGTATGGAAAATCCTATATGGCAAGAAGCCTTTCTTGAATCTTTCTAACCCAATAAATTGGTCAATACACTAACAGGAACCACTAAGAAGTGCAATAATAGACTCCTGCATCCATGTTAAAGACCATGGAAGAGAGAGCTGCAACAGAAAAGTTTGTGACTCTACATATATAACATAACTCGTCAAAGATCAAACAATATAAAATAACAATCCTTCTAATATTCTTGCTTCAACTTATCCAGGTTTTCTTCATTTTCACCTTGTATAACACCTCTAACCATAATGATATACTCAAGGTACGTGCCTTCTTCTATAACGAATCAACACTTTCACAATACGAAAGTGGCAAAACAGATATTTCATGTTTCATAGATTGGAGCTACTAGTCCAGAAGATGCTGCTAGATGGATCCGTTGTTTAAAAGATGCTGCATTGAATCCTGAAAAAAATTTAAGGGCACCCGCGATAAGAAAATGGCAACCTTTCAGGTAATAAATCATTTATTTGGTTCGTATTTCTTGCAAGGAGTGATCCTTCGCTAAAACAGTCATTTACAATTATGGCATTTATTATTTTAAAGCTGATTTTGTCACCATGTAACAAGATTGAGTGTGTCAAAGAGGATGGCAAGAAAGAAGTCCATAGATTGGACCGAAGCATCTTCTTCACATGTGGATGCAATGACTTCTGATGTTATTGGCCCTTCACCGTGGAAGATATTTGGATGCCAAAACGGTATGAAACACGTTCGAAATTCATCATATTCAGTAAAAAGAAGAAGAAAAACCAAACAAGAAAATAATGAATTAATATATAATGCTTATCCCAATGTTGTTTTGGTTATTCAGGCTTGCGGCTATTCAAAGAGGCAAAAGACAGAGATTCTAATGGGAAGGTTTGTTGATGTATTTGACATTCCATTCTTTATTGTCAGATTTCCTCCTCGCAACTAATCAAATGTGTTGTGTTCAGCACTGGGATAGTCATCCAGCAATAATGGCAGTAGGTGTAATTGATGGGACTTCGGAAGCCATTTTCAAATCACTCATGACTCTCGGCCCATCTAGATCAGAGTAAGACCTTCCTGCTTTCCTTTTTTTTAGTTGTCTGAAAAGAAGTTCTCATTCCATATAGGGAAAAAACTATGGTTCACGTTCTTTCTCTCCTCTGCATAAACTTCCACCATACAATTTCATTTTTTTCTTAAACTTCGTGAAAAAGCAAACAAGAACTTCTTTAAGGGACGGATGGATTATATACTTATCAATGATTCATTAAATAGATTTTGAGACATGGATTGGTTTTGGCAGATGGGACTTCTGCTTCTATAGGGGCAGTGTGGTTGAGCATCTTGACGGACACACCGATATTATCCACATGCAACTATACAACCATTGGCTTCCATGGTTAAAACTTCTTAAAATGACACAAACAGATAAACTTAAGATTTGGTCTTTAGCTTCAATGACTTTTATTTATCTGCAGGGGGATTAAACGAAGAGATCTGCTGCTGCGGCGTTATTGGAGAAGAGAGGATGATGGCACATACGGTAATATTCACATCTAAGAAAAGTAAATTTCACGGAAATAAAGAAAAGATGGAATTTGTTGTTGAGATTTCTGCAGAGGTAAGAGATAATGTGAACCACTCGATACCTTAATAGCAATGAGAAGTTTATTTTGGGACAAACAAAAAGGGAAAGTGAGAAGTTTATTTTTGGATGGAGGGAGTATAAGATTGGTTTTACTAAACTGTTGTTCTTAAAATACTGATTGCTCTCGGATGTTTGATGCAGTGATTCTTTATCACTCTGTCGTCCACAATAAATGCCCGCCACAAGAAGGATATGTTCGCGCCACCGTTAAAAGTAACGTACGCTTTAACATGTGTTTATGTCATCTTAATAATTAATGTCTATTTTTATAAAAGTAACAACTTTTATTCCCTTTGGGGGGTTATTCAAAATTATTCAGGTGGTGGACACGTTATAGTTCCTGTAAACCAAGGCAAATCAAGCATTGTCAAACACATGCTCTCTGTTGATTGGAAGTTCTGGAAGTCATATCTTAGAAAAGAAACGTCTAGATCCATAACCATTTGCATGCTTGGGAGAATTGCAGGTATTTTTCTATTGATCAAGATGAAACACAATTTCTAATTTCAAGTGGACCATTTTTTTCCTTCACTTAAGTCTTTGTTAAGAGTGTCATGGTGAAATACTAATGAGTAATGACACACATGAGTTATGGATTAAATCTTTTTGTATGATTTGGCCTATATGGTACGGTATGCATTACGAATCGTGATCATGCTGACCTAATTCTATCACATTACATGAATCCCAGCACTGAGAGAGATGTTTAAAGCTAATTCTGGAAGCTACTTCCACAACGCTTCATCAGGAGAGCGGACAATAGATATCCAGTTACCTCTTAGTGAAAAAGAGGAGATAAAAAATGAAGTTTCTCAGGAAAGGAGTGAAGTGGATATGGAGAAACATCCTTCGGGTCGGTCAAGTCTAGTCGGGTTGAATGATGTGACGGATGAGTTTTTTGATGTTCCCGAACCATCCGATGATGAACAGTCAGATCACGGATGGTCTTCCGGTTCAAGTCCAGACTATCATGCGGTACTCGGCTTCTCTTCTGCTATCTATACCTCTTTTTAGTTTCATGATTGATTATCTTCTAATGCTACCCTTTATGTATTATTAAACTCCCAGGACACATATCCACAGAAAATATCATCTGCTGCAAATTTTGTCAAAAAATTGCAGGATCTAGCAGGTTTGTGAGTGGCCATAGATGTAAATAGTTTCCCTTGTCTGTCATGGATTCCAGGAATGGCCTAATTCCAAACACAAACTGTTCAAAAAATTTCAGTCCAGAAGAAAGGGTATGTTGACTTACAAGAAATGGTCGTGGAAGATGAAGCCACATGCTGTTACGGTTCCACTCTTCCCAAAGATGCCAGTTATAGTCTGACCTGCAGTTGGGCAGCTGCTGACACATCATCGTTCTTAATCCGAGGAGAGAAGTACCTGGAAGACCATCAAAAGGTGGTTCTCTCTTCCTCTTGTCTTTTGTAGCATGCCCCTATGGTATTTTATTTCTAAGTATGCTGTTTTGTTTTCAGATCACAGCAAAAGGAACATTGGCACAAATGGTTGGTGCAGATTGGCTACAGTCTGACATTCGCGAGGATGATCTTGCTGGTCGCCCTGGAAGCATCGTGCAGGTCATGTATTGCTCCTTAATCCTTCCAGGTTTATGTTTTTAAAGACCAAAACTGTACTTTTCTAACACAAGTTCTGTATGGTCAATAGAAATATGCAGCCCGGGATAGACCAGAATTCTTTTTCGTGATCAACATTCAGGTAAACTTGTCTGTTTTTATCACAACTCTCGGGGTCCTTTTGGATCTCATAAGAAAGGATAATAAAAGAAATGCTGAAAGACAATAAATTTATCATAGATATAATAAGACTAAGCAGAAAAGATTGAATTCTTAGTAGTATATGCTGATGATGGAAGTTTGGTTGGGGAAAAAAAGATTCCAGGAGCAACAAGACACAACCTTGCTCTATATTATATGTTGAAAACTCCTTTAGAAGAGAACCCTTTACTCGAGCGCTTTGTCAATGGAGATGATGCTTTCAGAAATTCAAGATTCAAACTCATTCCATACATCTCCAAGGTCAGGCAGCATTTTCAGCACATATATGCAGTAAAAATCTTCTTTTTTTTTCCACCCAGATGATATCCACTTTTTCACATTCGTCTTATTCTCTGTCTGATAGGGGTCATGGATAGTGAAACAAAGTGTGGGTAAGAAGTCGTGTTTGATTGGTCAAGCGCTTGACGTGCATCATTTCCGTGGCAAGAACTACTTGGAGGTAGACTTGATTCATATGATGCTTTATCCCAGTTCTTGAAAAAAGATATCGTTTTTGAGCATTTGATTAATGACGATTCGTCTTAGATTATTATTATACCATCGAATTTTTGTTGGGTTAACCGATGAATCATCTGAAGATTTTTCTTGTTCTTCCCTCAGCTTGATGTTGACGTTGGGTCATCCACGGTTGCAAGGGGAGTTGTCAATCTTGTTCTAGGCTATCTGAACAACCTTGTAATAGAAATGGCATTCCTTATACAGGTAAAACACAAATTACAGATTATTGTAATCATCACTTCCATTAAGAAACTGAAATGAACATGAAATTGCAGGCGGACGCAGCAGAAGATCTTCCAGAACAGCTTCTTGGGACGTGTCGGCTTAACCATTTAGACGCGTCCAAAGCTGTTCTTACCCACAACATTTGCAGCTGCTAATATAAGGACTAACAGATGGAGTATGTAAGTGCCACAGAAGAGAGTGTAAAAAGTGTAATTAGTTTGGTAATTACATGTTTTGGAAGTTGATTTGATTTAATTATTTTTTTTAAATTTTCTCTTCAAATTATTTTTTTGGAGGTACACATTATTGTTACTTGTGGAAAAGTTGGTGAGGGATAAGTTGTCCATTGTGTAAATTCTCAAAGCTGGCCTAGTTTAATGGTTTCATTCTTCATTGTAAAAAAAAACATGTATACAAAAGCCTGCCCCCCTTGTGGAATTGTGATGGGGATATTAATTAGTAACTTGATTGTGTCATCCACTAGGGTTATCTTGCTTTATTATGTTTTTATTTTTAATGATACAAATATTAATGCTCCCTATTATTATTGTTATCAAAATAATACAGTAATATTATTATTGTTATTATATGGACGTTGCTATATTCGCATCTATTATTGTTAAATCAATATCATTTATAATAAATTATCAATTATATCCTTAAAAACATCATATCAAATTAGATACAAGCCAAATTTTAAGGACAAAGTTGCATATTTAACATAAAAGGGTGAATTTAGTACAAAAAGAGGTGGATCTATTGCAACACTGTGTTTTATTAAAGGATGATTTATGATTTTTTTACACCAACACGTGGTGTCATAATATGACATCGAGTTGATCCAAAGTCGTACAATGCTACGTTGGATCTGGAATATGACATCGAGCTCATCCACCTCACTCCACCACCCCCACTTCTCTCCTTCAACATACCCTCCCCGTGCCTACACCCACCTCGCGAGGTGTACCTACCTCGGGTTATTTTTTCCTAGTTGATTTACTCAATATGGTTATTTTTGCCAATACAAGAAATTTTGTACTCTATCTGTCCTCTTTTAAACTAATCGGTATGACTTGTCATGAGTTTTAATGTAAGTTAAAAAGCTTTGACTTTCCAGTTTTAAATGTTTATATTTTAAATTTTGATTTTTAATTTTTAAATTTGAAATTTTTAAATTTAATAAATTTGTAATTTAAAAATTGTGGATTTCGAATTCTTTTTGTGTTATAAATTTTAAAATTTAGAATTGGTAAGTTTGGAATTTAGTTTTTAAATATTAATAAAAGAAAGGTTTTTTTAATTAATTATTTTCCTTCCTATCAAACAATGGAAAATATGTTGAAAATTATTTTCCTTCAGAAAATATTGTTCTAGCGAAATATTTTTCCACACCCTAAAACTTTTCTAAAAAAAGGTTAAGTTATAAAATTCTTGCTGCATCTACAACCACAACTTTGAGTTGGTTTCTTAACTTGGTATACAATTTAACGAAAAATAAAAATATGTGATTGAAAGTAATGCAGATGAGAGAAAGATTGTGAGTCACTCAAAGTTTTTTATAAAAGAAAAGATGAGGTGTTTTTTGGGACATCCCAAAATAATAAAAGTATTTCTTTGAGATGGAGGGAGGATATATGATTTTAAAGACTCGTTGACCAAATGATTACGAATTCGAACATTATAGTCATTTTATTCAAAAATAAAAGTGAGAATTGGTAAAACTCCTCTCCTCCCAATTTTGAGGGTGAATTCCCTGTTTGTGTAATATACCTGCACCTCATTCCTTTATATGCATTTTGGATATACGTTTTCCCTAATAATACCAACCGGAGTTGGCTACTTCGTTTTTGAGCTATTATTTAGGTAAACGGATTTGGCTAATCCGTCTCACCCATTTAATTACTAAACGGATTAGCCTAATCCATTTTACTATTTATTTTTTTATAATTTTCTTAATGCATGGAGATTATTTGTTGCTTGTTCCAATTTTTTTTTCGTTTAAACTTTTTTAGTTATTTTAACTCCATTTTATAAACTTTTTTTTTAACAAATTAACTCCACTTTTATAAACTTTTTTTAAACTTTTCTAACTTACCTCTCCCTCGAGCAACCTATCTAGCTGGTCCCTGTATGCTCGTAAGGAGCGTGTCGTACAATCTGACCACCGATGATAACACACCCATCTACCAGTGGAGGATTAAACATTAACATGAATAAAATAAACTGAGTGAATGCATGATAGACATAAAAAATTGTAAATACCTGATTCCATATGGAACATTAACCAGCTGCTCCAATGGTACAACGTCCCTAGGTCTAGTCATAGGTAGACGTTCCCATGCCCAAAGCTGTAACAGGATAAGACACCATCCAATCTGTGCTACATGTGTCATGCTAGCACGGCACATACTACGATACAAGAAACTAAGAACCGCAGCACTAATGGCACGACCCTGCACCAGCACAGAGTCACCCATGATTACCTCCAACGGATACAAACTAACCTTATTTCCCGTCGTTTTGGGAAATAAGCTGCCACCCAACAACTTAAACATAATAGCTCTAGCATGTTGTTGGTAATCAACATCTACACTATGCTCTGTCAACGCCTTCGGAACAATTGCAGATATCTTAATCATAGAAGACGTAATATCAAATGGTTCAGGTCTAAAACCCATCATGTCATGACAAATCTGAATCCACTGATCCTTTGATCGACTAGTGATCCCCGACAATGAAATGTCATCTACGGGCAATCCAAGTAAAACCTCAACATCTTGCAGCGTAATTCCCACCTTTCCAAAGGAAAGATGGAATGAATGGGTCTCGGGTCTCCATCTCTCCACTAAAGAAGTAATAAGAGCCCAATCTAACTGTAATCCACCCACTTTCTCCACCCCATAAAATCCATAATCTTGTAAAATCTCTATTACACGAGGTGGTCTATTAACAACAAGAGTCCTCGGATATATACTAGAACAAGTGCTATGACACTTTAGAGTCATTTTGGCATATTCTTCGTCCGCCCATACTGCATCACACCTATGTACTCCGCCTTCAAGAACTAAAACGTCTCGTGAAATAGGTCCCGGATGAACACCCATTTGCTTCAAAGATTACAACATAACAAATTATTTATTTAATAACAACTCATTTGTTTCAAACATTACAACATAATAGTTTATTCATTTAATAAAAGCACACAACTAGGAAATTATAATAAAAAAACTCATTAAGTTACTAATTATGTTAAAAATTATCTTACAATCTCAAAATTAAAAAATTACCAAAGTTTTATGAATATTTAAAGAATCAAATTTAAAATCTTACAAACTAATAATATATATCAATTACACTAAACAAATTCACCCAACTTGGTATAAATCCTATATAATTTATGCAATTTTATAAAACAAACTCTCTCTCTCTCTCTCTCTCTCTCTCTCTCTATATATATATATATATATATATATATATATATATATATATATAATATCTCAATATTATCATAAAATGATAAATATGTATATAAAATAACTAAAAAATAAAAAATACCTCCATGAAACGGAGTAGGGTAGTCCAAATTGTCTTCTTCCGGCGGTTCCCCGCTCTGTTTCGGCTGGAATTTCAGCTGGTAGGAATGGATGATGGAGGCGCTGGCTGGAATGGATGGATGGAGGGGGATGGGTTGGGGTTATCCGGGACAGAGTAGCCTACTCCGTCTGAATTTAGTTTCGAGAGATATGGAGTTGGCTACTCCGTATGGCTTTTAATTTTAATTAATAAATTGAAACGGAGTTGACTACTCCGTATGAGAAATAAAAAATTTAAGACGGAGTTGGCTACTTCGTTTTATTTAAAATTTTTGAGTAGAAACGGAGTAACCGAATTCGTATTGCACTGTCAGGAAAAAATGTCTGACTTACACTGTCAGAAATGAAAATATTTTTTTACATATGTTGGTCGTTGGGAGAAAAACCAAAATAGCACTATAAGAGCATTAAAATACTCTAAATATCAATACTATATGTTTCGTACCTGTAGTTCTGATTTTGTCCTTTAATTAAACAACAATTGTTCATTATTCACTGCCAAAAAATATGATTATTTTGTTATATCTTACGGCAGTGTGTAAATGTATTATTGTGTTCCTTAATTTCGTGTTGTAGTGTAATGTCCATTGATTTATGTGACAGTGATTTCATGTATTAATTCTACACTCTCAAAAAATGTATAAATATTTTCATGTATGAATTTCACACTGTCCAAAAAATGTATAGCTCTTTTAATGTATGAATTCCACACTATTTTCATGTATGAATTCCACACTGCCAAAAATATATATGATTGTTTTCATTTATGAATTACACACTGCCCAAAAATGTATCCAAAAATGTATGATTGATTTCATGAATAATCTATTACACCAAAACACACTGGCCAAACATGGGCTTGGCTTTTTTGGTCTTTCTTGATTTTGTATAATGTTAGAAGATGTTAGTATTAGACATATGCTGAATTTCATTTATGTGGTACTGAAAAGAAATGGATAATGAAGGTATTATGTTGTAAATTTTAAGACTTTGTAAGCAGCATACACTGCAACATTATGTAAAATTGTGCAACATAGCACACTGGCCAAAACATAGGACATAACACACTGCCAAAAAGTATACCTAGATCACTAGCATTCCACACTGCCAAAAATCTTTGAGCTTACGCTTCATACTTTGTTTATTAAAGTTATTCAAGCACTAGTCATTTTGGTGATTTTTTGTGTCCGCTTCCAATGGAACTCAATGAATAATTTATTACATTGGGATTTTTAGATATAAATCCCATTCGACCAAAACACACTAGGAAAACATGGTCATAGGACATATCCAAAAAGTGTAGCTAGAAGTTGATTATTCCACACTGTCAAAAAAATATCAGCCCCTATTCAGTAACACGTTTCCATAACGAACTCTTGAATGTTCAAACCCAATAGTCATAGAACGAAGCACATGGCTTTTGCACAATATGAAATTCAATTCATAATTCATAACATTGGCAGTTTTATATGTATGTCTAATTTCATTGCCATATTATTAATGGAAGTTAATGAAGTACATACAAATTTGTTTAGGTCGCTAACTTTTATACACTGCCATATTTTCACTCTTGTCTGCCACATTATATGATGGGTATATCCCTATACCCGACCCGGACAACCGAAAGAGACAGGTCAAAATATGACCGGTCACTTTTATCAATCACCAAATGAGGTTAACTCTTCGATTGGGACGGGTCAACTTTTGACCGGTCACTTCCACTAAAAAAGTGACCGGTCACATTTCGGGCGTTAGCCAAAATGTCGTCTAATATTACAAAGGACAATCTAGAAGACCAGAGACGGGTTGAGCACAAAGAATGACCGGGTAACCTTTGAGAGAAGGTGACCGGTCATATCACTTTACTTGGCTAACATTGGTTCAGTATCTCAAGCATGGTGAACCACGTCAGAGGTCAAGGGGACACCCCGCCGCTCATCCATCACGAGGCACACAGTGAAAGAGATGTTTGTCATTTTGCAGGGTTGATTGGATTGAGAATATCCATTTTAGTCTTTGGTTGAACAGTACATGTCTTGGCCTATAGTTGTTAAATTCTATGATTGTACAGTGTTCCCATTATCTACAGTGACCTTCCCACGAGCTTCCTATTTTGTCCATGGATGAACAGGGGAAGGTCATAAATCCTCCTCTATAAATATGATGATAGTGGATAGAGGAGGGGATCCAATTTTTCTCTCACTAAAGTTCACTCTTGAGATAGAGTAAGAAATATAATTCGGACTGAGGAGATTTACCCGGTCTAGGTCATACTTTGTGTTCTTGTTGTGTGTTTTATATTACGGGTCGAGTGTGTCCAGGTCAAACCCGGTTAACCCACCCCGCTATATTTACACCATCATT